CCTTTCCACATAAAAAGTATTTTTCCAAGATGCTGCAAAGCATAATCAGTTACCTTTTTATTTTCCCATTCTTTGATGGAGCTGCTGTGTCCCGTAGGAAGCTGCAGGACACCATCTGTACCAGCAGAGAGCAATGGAGGTTGAACCTTACTAAGGATCTTCGAGCAGAGTCTGAGAGAATCAGTAAGCTCAGACAAGTGCAAAGTATGAAGATGGCTCGTCAATGCAGAAATCATCCTGAGCAACAGCTGGGGCAAGTGTTCGGTTTGTATTTCAATGTAAGTCTCCTAACAAAGTAATAGTAAAACTCATTAGTTGCAACACCAAATTCCACCCTGAAAGTTATCTTCTGTAACAGTGGTGCCTATCATTTGCTCTAGCTGTGTTCTAAACATATGGAACATAGAAAAAAGAAAATTAATATCTTAATATCCAAGATAAGAAATGCATGCTTTACTTACTAAAAAAGTTACAAAATTAACTTTACAGTTGGCTAACCAACAACTAGAAATATATTTAGCTCTTTTTCAGAATTTTACATCTTGTTCATTACATGACAAACACGTTACAAAACATAACAATAAGGCTAAAGAATGCTACTACTATTATTTTAATAAACTTAATATAATAATTCAAGAATGAAAGATAAATTATTTAAGAACTAAAGGGAAAACAGGCTGATTGCCATACCTGACACAGCACTCTCATACTTCTAGTAGGCTTTGAAATGAGAAAGCAAAGAATTGAGGAAAGACAGGCATAGAAAAAACAGTTCCAACAGTCTCTGCTACATTAAGCAATGCCAACAGAAAAAGAAGATACATCTTATCATGCCATTTAAAAGAGCCTTGGAAGAAAGCTGCACATCTAAACTAACATATCAAACTACAAAAGACTATACTTGTAATGAATACAGTGTACTTTTAGAAAAAAAATCTAGGACAGACAAAAGTTTCCAGGTATAAGCCATCATAAAACCCACTTCAGTTATATCCAACCATTCTATCAGGAATCATACAGTGAAAGCAAAACTTCTTCTAAGGGTGTCCACCAATTTATGGCAATATATTTTCAGGAAAAACAACACTAGATAGAGAGATATACTACATTTGTAGAAGATATATATACACACACACACACAGAATCCCAGTACTAGCAACAAATAAAGCAGTTCTTACCAAAGAAACTATATCCAACAAAAAATCCACTAACAAGCAGAAATTTGTCAGGGGTAACTCAGATTGCTCACTACCACCTCCAGGCCCAGTTTGAAGTCTGGCATGTAATGTCCTCCTGCAAAATTCAAAGAGGGTGTCATGATATTTTTCCCTCCCCCTTACATTGATCATGTTTCTGTAACTTAATGCAAAGCTGTACACATCAGGGATAATCCCTATAAACAAATAAGTCATCTCTCATTTTACTATTAAGTAGCTCATTTGGCCCCATTGCACGCTTTCCAAAAAAGCAGCAACCAGCCTTTCACTGTAAACCAGTCTTCACTCATAAAATAAGGAAATTCAGGCTACAGAAAATTGCATTTGTGACTCCACCATATACAACAATATTTACTAGTATGAGCATGGGCACCAATAATAGAATTAGTACTACTGGAAGAACAGTACTTTAGAAGAAATGTAAATTCAAGTCATTAAGCACTTCAGATAAAGACAACCAAAAGTGAAATAAAAGGCCCATGAAGCTTTAAAGCTGTACAAGAGGAAAACAAAACAAGCTCTTCCAAACGTCCACTTCAACTTCATCTGACCACACTGTTTTACTATTAACAAGAATTCTTAATCTGATGAGTTTTATTGCTGAGTGAAGTAAAACAGAACACTAACTCCCTGTGAAACCATGTTGCAATCTGACAATATTATAAGCAAAAGATACAAACAAAGGAAAAAGGTGATGATGAGGGCAGTGTCACATTTTCAGCAATAATTAGTTATGGTAATCCTTTCCCTCTGTTTTGGAAGGGTTCATGAACATATATGCCAGGGCTGAAAAAAGGATTTATTTGAAATAATAAAGGCATTACAGAAACCAAGTCTGAAACAGTGACAGTAAGTATTTATTAGAAGATTTTTAAAATCATATTTAAATTGCATTCTGTCAGTAACCTATGTTTAAAAAGTAGCACTCTACTTAACCCACATCTCCATTGGGTTACTGTATCTCTAACAGATAATTCTCTTCATAAAATTAGAAGCCTGTTTTATAGTTAAGTGAAACGGTCCCTTTATATAAGTAATATCACAAATTCAGAAAGATCAACCATTTCATCAATTACTCACAGATTTGTTCAATTGTAATACCTCAAAGGATGACTTCAATACAACTCACTGAGCTCCTTATCAAAAATAACTTTGAAAGAAGGCTCAATAGCAGTGAGCAATACTTTGATGGGAGAAAACACTAGATACATGAAATCCTATTTTTAATTTTTCAAGGGGGAAAATCATAAGAAAAAGCCTAAGACAAATTTAGAGGGATATCTAAATCGCTTTAAAAGTAATAACTGTGACTTAGCAATCAGACTAGATGATCTGAAGATAACCTACAAATTCACAGTTTAAAATCAACTGGTTATGTTTTCATTTAATGGTGTATCTTTTTAAACAGGAAGACCATAACTTACATAACATAACAGCTGACGTAGAAAAAAACAACATTCTGCAGCTTCCATTTATTAATAAATAAGGCAATCTGGTATCCATGCTTACAGTAACATCTACTTATATGTAGAGAAATTCTCAACGGCTTGCTAGTTGGTTGTAGACTGCTTTCTTTACTTGAGCAATTAACAAAAATTAAGTCACAGACATGTTGGGAGGGATTTCATCTAGTCCAACCTCTCACCCTGAAGGAGGACTGCTAACATCACTAGATAAATTCATGCACAGTTTTGTCTAGCAGAGTCCCCCAAGGAAGGGAAACTCTTGGAAAATCTCCCAAGGAAGCTCCACAGCCTTCCTGGGTAACCTGTTCCACTGCTTAGCACTATGTTCCTAGCAAAGCTTTTTTTCAAAGTCCAACCTGAACCCCTGAACCAACACTTGTTGCTGCTGTCCTTTGTTTTACCATCAGCCATTACCAGAAGTATGGCTGTATCAACTTTGTAAATGCCCTTCAGGAAGTTATAGACTCTATTCAAGTCCCCTCTTTGCCAGGCTAAAGCAAACTCACCTACCTCAACCTCCCATGCAGTGTCCTATGACTCTGACCATCTTAGCAGTCCTCTACTAGAGCTTTAGTTTCTCAACGCTCCTCCTCAAACAGGGTGCCCCAAACTGAACATGATATTCCACATATGACCTTAGAAACACTAAGTGAAAGGAAAAATAACTTCCTTTCACCAGCTGGCCATGCTCCCCCTGACGTAGCCCAAGACACACTTTTCTTTACTTATGACAGCACACTGTTGGCTCATAGACACCCTAGCGTCCAAATATCGTAATACTTTACTAAGCTATTGCATAAGCAATGAAATAAAATTTTCTACAAATTTCATTTGAAATCCCTACATCATCTATCCTCTGACAAGGCAACAACCCCTGCTCCCCTGTGGTCACTTGGTCCCCCTCCTATTACTATTTTCAGTTCTCCCTTACTTATTATCTTCCCTCATGTAGTCCTCCTTGCTATATATGGGACTTCCACACTCTGTCTTCCCTAAAAAAGTGGGGCAAAAGATAACAAATTCCACATGTTACTCTTGGTAAAGCTTGATGGGTTTGCTAGACACCCAACGAGTAATCCTGTACTGGACAGACAGAACAAAACAAATTAGGTTTGAGATCACTCTGGAGTCTTCCCTTCAGCAGAGGTGCTAATTCTGTCTCTTGATTTTACCCAGACACTGAGTTTGTGAGAACTCACATTGCTGAAACCACCAATCACATCTGATTGAAAGTGGCCAAAAGATCAAAGCTAAATGGATGGGGAAGAAAAAGACTTTCAGACTGAATGATCACATTAGACTAACTTCTTTGAAGAAAAAAGCTTATAAAACAAGAGTCAACTTCAACTTTACACATACAGAGATTAAGTATTATAACCTACCTACAACATTCTTCAAACCAACGAGCAATGTAATCCCACATATAATAAGGCTCAAAGGAATTAAAGAGAAGATTGGCAGTTTTAATCAATTCTGCTGTTTTCTTGTTTTCTCTCAGTTTGCTGAAAGAAAATAAAGTGAACATTTTATATTTTTATGCTTCATTTCCGAGTTATGTAACTACACATCACTGTGAGTTTACCCACTGCCAGTTAATACTGAAACTATCCTTCCCTCACCCCTACAGTGGTTGTTGCTCTAGGGCTCAGTATATTGGCAGGCTGCTCATAATGTCTCTTCATAGTTGCTAGGTTTCTTCTCTATCCTTTCTTTAGTATTTGTCTTCTAACCACATTTTAGTAGATCTGTTTTCCCATGATCATTCCTACAGTTGTTCCCCGCCCTCTTCTCTCCGGCTTTTAAGATATTCAACTCGAATCATAGAATAGTCTGGGCTGGAAGGGACCTTTAAAGGCCATCTAGTCCAACCCTCCTGCAATGAGCAGGGACACCTTCAACTAGATCAGGCTGCTCAGAGACCCATCCAATCTGACCTTGAATGTTAACCGGGATGGGGAATCTACCACCTCTCTGTGCAACCTGTGGCAGCGTTTCACCACCTTCACTGAGAAAGATTTTTTCCTTATATCTAGAAACTCTTGAAACGTCTTGAAACTTTTTATCCGCCTCTGTCTGTCTTGTAGCACTCCTAATTTTTATTTTACAAGAAAGCTCATCAGTCCACTTTGGGGCGGGGGGGGAAGAACAGAGATGTGCTGACTTCTAGGTGTATCAAGCAAGCATTTTAATCATGGATAAAGAATAAAATGTATGCTACATATTAAAAAAAATAAAAATAAAGCCATAGCCCTTCAGATCTTTGCATTGAACACAGAAGTTGCAATTATTGTCAGTGGACCCTGTATCATGAAGAAACCAGGTCACAGTCCCACAGGCTTCACAGTCATGGTTTCAGAAACAAAAAGATACATTATATGATACAAAATATGTTATACTCTTTATTTACCTGCTTAGCTGTGTGTGATCTTTGTTGAAAGAAGGTTCTGCCTGAAGCTCCAGTTCTGCTTTGCACTGTGTATATAATGTTCGAAACACTTCAATCAATACATCCTCTAGGATGGCAGGGCCTAGAGAGAAATACCAGCAATCACAGTCTTATGCATTATAGCACCGCTAACAGTCCATATCTGAAAACCATCCAAATACATCGGCTAGCTTTGGTCACTGAAACCATAAAATTCCTTCTGTTCAATTTCATAAAGTACCTCCATTCCAGAAGCTTTTTTGCATTTCAGAAATACACAGGCAATTGTAATGCCTGGGGGTATACAAAGCACAAGTGGAGTTCTCTGCCCATACAATGTGTGTACAATGATGGCTGGATACAAGCACAACTAGTTCAAAAGCTATGCAGTCACATCAGTATAGCCAATGTTCAAGCCAACACACCCTCTTCGAGGGTTCATTAGCTCAACTCAGTTACATGTAAATGTGACTACATGGATTCTTGACCAAAGGTAGCTTTGAACCAAACAGTTTCAAATACCCACCCCCAAGCTAGGTCATGTTGTTTTCATACAGAAAATATACTCAAATATTTAAATGCAAATATAAGGTAAAATATTTTGACCATCTTCCATAATACACAGTAAAATATTTTCAGCATCTTCCTTTTAATTTGAGGCAGGTTTTCTTTAATTCTGGGTACAGCCTGCAGGATACTTTTTCAAACAGTACCTCCTTCAGATTTGAGCTAAGTTTCGAGTTTGAAAAAAAAAAAAAAAAAAAAAAAAAAAAAAAAAACCCACCTACTAATCCTGCTTGAAATATCCTTTGCTTTTTCATGCTTTCTCCTAGCCTCATTAAGCTGCCTTCAGTGTGTGCTCACTGAATTAAGTAGAAATCCTATTAGCTTCTTCCATTTCAGTTTGCTGAAAGAATCCTCATAGCTCTGCTTACTTCATGAAAACTTAATGTACACATTGTCTCTGAAAATTTAAGCTGACCCCCAGAAATCACAAATTCCCATGAAGATGATAAATTCTTGTCAGATATTTTGTTCTTTGTGGTCTGTCTTAACTACCTCCTTTTAAGTTGTACTCTTTTAATTATTGTATTTTTACACTTTTATTATCTCTCTCCAAATCTTGGGATACATGTCAAAAATTATGTTGATTTTTTCAGTCACCTCCAAAACTGTTGTTCCAAAGAAAAAGCCAAGATGTCCAACACTTAATTGTTGTAAATGTTTTTGCCTCATCTGCTTCTGTCCCACAGTACTCTGCACTCACCTGCTAAAAAGTGCATTTAAACACTTTAAACAGTTTTTAAATTGTTTACTTGTTAATAACTCTCAACTCTATGTGTACATTAGAAGAAAAAGCAGACTATTCACAAAAGCAATAGCTGAGATTTAAAATAGTGAAAGTCACTATTTGATTAAAGAAATGGAAAAGATGCAATCTGCATTTCTTCCAACATGCAGTCAGTATTCTCTATGACTTTAACTTACTATTTCCTGTGTTGTAAGTAGAAGAAATTGCATTTGGTAAAACGTAAATCTAATAAATACATTAAATTATTTGGTTGGAAGATTTAAGAAACCTAGCTAACCTGCCAGTACTGAGAATACAGCTTTTTCAGTTTGACCAACAGGAGAGATTTGACCAACCAAAAATTCTCAAAGCAAAACCATGTAAAACAAATTAGACTAGAAGTAATATGAAAATTACCTAGTTCAGGCTTATCCAGCAAACTGATAAGAATCCGAAAAGGCTTTAAGTCTTGCATTAATGTGCTTTCTTCTCCATGACCATTAACTTGTAATATTCCAACCATTGCCTACAAAGAGCAAAAGCATATCAGGAAAACAAAAACCAAACTAGAAAACAGTTTTTGAAAGAAAGAGGCAATAAAAGCTCCATATAAAGTGAAAATTCTCAGTAGTGGAGACCACTATTTCATCTCACTGCAGTTCATTCTCTCCATGCTTAAGTGTTCTCTCAACCTTGCCTATGAGAATATATCTGTGGAACAGAACTTGAAAACTTGTATATACTTAAAATCAAAATAAAGTATTATAAACAGACACCAACTCAAAATTTCGTAAGAATAAAAGACATGAAAAGTGATGAAGAAATTGTTTGAGAAGGTAAGGCATGTAGATATTAAGGGCTTAAATAATAATCTGTCCATCTGGGAAATACCCACTTATGTGGTGGAAAACTTTGACTAAGTTGACTAGATAGCAATGACAATTTCAAAACAAATGGGAAAAATGAGGTTCTATACTGAAGCAGTTTAGGGAACGAGCTCCAGAATTAAAAAAAGCCCAATGAAACTGTCACAGATTTTACTTAGTTTTCTGTCTGTGGCTGGCTTCATTGTCTGAGTTGAAACTAGTTTGTTTCTTTCACAGCTTCTAAAATAGGAGGACAAAGAAGAGAAAGAAGAGAGGCAGGAAAACAGGTTTGACCTTGCTATCTGCTATAAACCAAGTATTATGAGCCAGTATCCTGCAAGAAAAACCTTCTGTACTTCAACATGCCTTTAGAAGCTCAGAATTTTCAGTACATTGTATCAATGAATAAGATGGAAGTGGACTGGATAAAAGTAAATGCAAAGAGTACTAGGGAAGAAGGCATAATAGAGCAATGCTTTTGAAGTCTTTCAAGGGACAGCAAATGGTTTTAGAAGGTATGTGCAATTTGTATTATGTAGAACAAGCCACTGATTGTAATGTCTGTAAAAAATTTTAAAGCAAAAAAACAAGTGAATTATTCCTATTATAAAAAATGGCCACTCTCCATTGTACTGGAAGAAAATAAAAATGAAAAAAAATCAAATGGACTGTATCAACTCTACACTGTTGTTAGTCTTTTCAGACAGAAAAGCTTTAAGGACACTGATTAAGCTAGGAAGGTGGACAGATTTAAAAGGAAGACCACAACCTATTAACAAATGCCTAAAAGTTGCTAAAAGCTCACCGCATTTTGTACAGAAGGGACATGCAAAACTGTATCTCATTCAGGCCTCTCCTTTACACTTGGATAATTTCTGAATCATCTGCCATGGGAGGCAGAAGGGTGACAAGAGAAAGGTGAGACAGTGCCAATAAGGTCATTGCTGCACTGGAATTCTGGGGTCCATTCCCCATCAGTAGAACAGCAGATCTTATTACCTTCAGATAACACTGAAAGTGCTAGTTCTGTGCTGGATATCAGCTTTAAGTTGTGATGAGCTAAATATTCTTGTGTCAGCTATTACTATTGGAATCCCCACTCTCATTCCCATACATAGCACCACAATTCTGAGTGAATATCAGAAAAATCCTGACCTTATCAATTTGCCTTAATCATAAAATGTCTTCCTGATCTCAAAATCAGACCCACATCATCTTGAAAGGCAGCTGTATATTTTAATTACTCCTGAGAAGGAGCACAGTTCTTGAGGCCAGGTGATCTCAGCTCACTTAGCAAGGCTTTAAAGGTCAAATAGTACAACCACCAATTTGCTTAGCTATTCCTGACTGCCAATGGACAGTAGAAAAGACACTCTCCTTGTCTAGAAGGGAGAAGACCCTTCTTACTCAGACCTTCTGAGTACTGTCTGATCAAATTTTTCCAATTCTCAAGACACAGAGGAGTTTCTGCATCTACAGAATTCTTCAATTCCGTTTTATGAAAGAACAGGCTCCAGTGTGCTCAGCTCATACGCAAATATCTTTCATCTATGCTACATTCATTGTGGATGAGGAGAGAAATCTAATATTTGTCCTGATAATACTGTTATTCTAAAGAAACACATTATCCCATGTCTTCAGTTTTCCACTGAGAAGGTTTTAGAAGAGAGGATGCAATACCACAAAAAGACAGAAATTACATGGTCACATTGAAATGCCAAGTAAAAAGATAAAGATACAGCAAATTTGATTAGCATCCGTTTATGAAGATATATGCCACAATAAAACATCGTATAGCTACCTGGACTAACATCTCCTTAGAGAAGGTGTTGAAATAGTAAGTGGCATGCTCCTCAGGATTGCTGTGCCTTGTACTTCTGGGTCCTATGAAGGCACCATTGTTATCAAAACCTTCAAGCAAACAAAAGACAAGACAAATAAGTATTTGTCTCTTAATAGACTATTTTGCCAATTTCTTTAAACTAGAAATCAACACACTAGGACTGATAACTTACCAAGATGAAGTCCAAGTAATGTTGGCAAGAGAAAGATGATTTTATAGAGTTTAATACAGGAAACTAAGTGATACTTCCATGCAAGCAATTTGCACACAAAATTACAAACTTTAGTTTTATGCAACATTATTAATCAAATTACTACTTCTACAATAGAAACAAATGTTTAAAACACTGCCTGAACCACATAGTCCTAGAGTGTCCTCAAAAAAACAACAAAAACCTGTCCCACAAAAATATTTCAAGATTAATATCATTATGAGAACACAAAATTCAGTATTTTAAATATAAAGAGTTGATCACCAAAACACACTGACATGACTAAGGCACTTCGAGAGAGTATCAGTTATATGACACCAAATCAATTTTGTTATTCAAAATTACATGAAGGAGACAGACCTTTGGTTTGTAAGTTTGTATCTTTTCTTTTACCAAGTACATTTTTCATTCTACGAAAAAATAGGCTTAAGGGAAAAAAACCCATAAAAATCAATAAGTCAGTCAGGATATCACCCCGTTCCACAGAAGCGTTTTCCACAGTTTTGTCCTGAAGTGACAAAAATAGAAGGAAAGCCTGAAAAGATGCATGCCCTCTAGCAGCAACTTAAAACAACCACTGTTAACAATGGTTAAGCTAACCTGGATTTAAAGAGATGTAATGTGATTTTTATACCTATAGAATGTTAACAGACCACTCCCAGCTATAAAACAGTAGGAAGTAATAGCTAACGCTGGAATTACATAATGTCATATAGAACATCAGACTTCAGGGGGTCTTATTTAGATGAAACATTACTGCAGTGTTTAATCTGGAAATTATTTTTTCCCTAAAGTGCAAAATGTAGATATGGAGCATGACAGTGCATTTCACTGTCTTTCTTTGAAAGATGAGTAATTTGCAAGTTAGTGTCTTGAGAAATTATTAGCTCAATATGAAAAAATCCCATCTTCTCTATCTTCTAAATCCCTGCAACTTCTACAGCCACAAAACCAATCCCCTCGTGCAAAACACTGTTGCTGACTTCATCCCTCCCTTCATAACTTCAGTTCTCTTTCATGTCCCTTGACTACTTATTTCCTTGCTCCCCTAACACCCACAGGCTACCTGCCTCTGATGTCTTAACTACTCAGAAAGATGCAAGAGCTGCTGGGAAGGGTTCTGGGTAGCCTGGGAAGGACATATGTGCTTGCTTGTGAGCTGGGAAGCCAAACACAAAAAGGTTAACAGCAGATTGTAAAACAGTCTTCCTCTCAAGTAGAGAGACCACTTTATGTCTCTCCATTCAGTTTGCAGTTTCTGTGACGCTTAGGAACTCCCATGTTGGAGATCCTGACCTCTCTCAAAGTAGGCTGAAAGTGGTTTTAAAGAGTAACAGGCCAGTTTCAGGTGACTAGAGGCTTCATTTCCTTAAAATAACAAGGCTGAATAAGAGTAAATGTTTTGTAAAATTTTCTAATTTCTAGTTTTCTAAATATTCCCTAAATAGCCACAGTCTTCGAAACAGCTATCCTTCTCTGCTACCCTCTTCAGATTACACATTGGTTTCATATAAAAAAATTAAGTGTATATTGTATCAATATTATGCCATTTGGTATAAGTAAAAGTGTGTGTCCTGTCATTGATGGATTTGTACCACACAAAGGTGTTCAAATGATGTTCTAGTTGCATGGAGAACATAAGTGATTGATGATTTGTTAATTCAACCATGCAAATATCTAATGAAGCTTACAGTTTTGCACAGTCAAGCCTCCATCAATGTAATAGCAACATTTTTCAACATTCTTTTATTTTCATCCCTTCTAGGCTATAGTGGTCCAACTGCCACTTACACTCTATAATGACTGTTCTCTTCTTTTTTTCCATTTTATGCTTTCAGGGAAGCAAAAGCTGCCTTTCAGTGTCTCTTTACGCAGGCCTAGTGCACCATGTTCTGTCCCTGAACATGGCCCATAATTGCTGCTGTAGGAAAATGTACCAATAATTTATATAACAGGAAAGACTTCCAGCATGACATTCTTCATCTTTTATGTCCATAGAGAGAGATAGTACCTTACTTCCTTATGATACAAACTAAATATTTCATTTTTCCAAGAATCTTTCTCCACTATAAGGCAAAATACTGCTAATGAACATACAACCCTTTCTCCACTTCTAGTGAGCAATGAAATTAAATACAAACCTACCTAGAAGCCATGCATAAAGCCTTCGGTTGAGTGACATATCCCTGCGTAATACTACATGAAGGGCTGCTGACAAAATCCTGATCATGTCTGGACGTGTTGCCTGAAGAAGTTGGAAACATGATTAAATTTAACTATGAAAAGTAACACTTTTTCTATGCTAGCAACTTAACGTGCACTAAAACATAATTTCATTTCCTGACATTTCTGAATTTGGAATAGTACAGGAAAACATAATCTTGCTCTTAGGAAACCAAGATATGATTATTAATTGGAACAGACACTTTGTAATAATATGCACTCTTTATGAACAGCAAAAATACTTGACTCCATTAACCGCTCATTTTTGTTACAAGACATTTCATTTTGTTTATTAGGCAAAAGCTTTGGAAGCAAATTCAACTAAATTCCAGAGTAAAAAAAAAAAAAAATAAGTGAAGAATTTTTAAATACCTTTCGAACTTTAAATGTTTGTGTAAGTCTTAATATTAAAAAAAAAATGCTGTATTGTTAATTTTAGCGCCTAAACAGAGGCATTCCAAATATTCCTATAGTAATTGATAAATGTGAACAAGCCACTTCCACAAGCAAGAATACAGTTCCTTTTACAGGAAAGTGCAGGTTTTCCACAATTTCTAACAAGGTGAGAATCAACCTTGTATAAGTTTTCTTCCAGGAGTAAAATAAATAATGGATAATTTAAAAAACAGAAAGCGATTAACAAAAAAAAATTACCTAGAAGTTGTAAGGTCTATCTCCCACTATTGCTAGGGCTAACTACTCACCCAATAATCATTTTCAATTCTTTACTGTTCTGAATCAGTTATGCTAAGAGGATTAACTTTTACTGCTTTTGAACACTGAGAACCGGAAACTTGCATATGAACAGATGATTTATTTTATCCTCAAATTACAGAAAATTAAAAGCTTCTGCACAGACTAAACATCATGATTTATATTGGGTTTGCATATACAGAAGTTAAAATTAACTTCAACGTTAACACATCAAGTTAAAAGCAGACGGGCACAGATCACGACATGAGAACAGCCAAACCTATCAGAGAAGCTCTTACATATGAGTCTTGTTTAAGCTCGAAGAAAATTATTAACAAAGCCTGACTAAAGACTGCTACTTGAGAAGTGGGGTACATTTAGTAGGAGTTTGCCAATTCATTTCTCTTATGTTAATAACCTACCTGGCTCATGTGGAAAGGAAAACAAAAAAGGATAAGGTCCAGCGTGCTCCTCTGTACTAAAACACTGGTATCTTGCACTGATGTGCTTACTGCTTCCACCTGAAGTAACAGCAGACCCCCCAAAATAATTATTTACTGCATTATTTTAAGAGGGTAGATAGAAGTGTACACTCACAAAATAAGAACAATTGTTTATAAATAGTGATATGTATGAAATGAAGTTATTTTGAATAATGAAACAAGATAAAACAGGAAAATAAAAAGTTTCACCATTGAGGAAATATAAAATCAACATAGATTCCCTCAACCATACAAACATTAAGCTTTTGCTTTTTTATATTACCAACAAACATCTTAAGTTTAAAATACAAAATAATACTCCACATATTTTTCAAAAAATGCAACAAAACTCAACCACATTTAACTGAAGTGTGTCATGAATGGAAAGTTTTATACAACTCCTAAGCAGTTCTGAAACATTAACTGAGCTTTACAACATTTTTATCATGCACAAAAACATCAGCTTAACTGGAGCTATAATAAACAAACATGCATTTTTATCTCTTCAAAGGCTATATTCGAAGATAGACATCTACACCCCCTACAAGTATATTATTATATAGATAAGTAACACCAATTTCTTCATTGTTCCAACAAAACATTACCATTAATTCAATGTCACTGCCAATTATGTAGAGCTGATCCTCCATTGAAAGCTTCCTGTTCAAATGGGAGAGGACATAGGTGATCCCAGGCAAGCGAACTGCAGGGCTTGTGAGGAGGCTACCCCAGAGAGCACTGTAGAATGCCGACTGATCGACAGCCGAGGCAACCTTTTCCAACAGCGTGTTCGTTCTGCAGTAAAATCAAACCAGCTGAATTATGGTATGTATCATAGCCCTTGCCCCATCCCCAATTTTAATAGGTATAAAAATAAATTCTTACAGGAAGGTCAGAACTTTATTTTGAGATGCCCAGAGGAACTCCAATTATACACTGAACTTATAATGCAGCCTGAACAGAGTGATCAAACTAGTAAGCCTGTGGGCCAACCTGGCTTGCAAAATGCCTCTGCCTGCCCACAGCTTCTCCTTCTGTACTCCTTATGTTCAAAGAGTCAAATAACATCCTCATGCTTCCCTGCTACTTAAAGCCAAGTGTTGCTACAGACAGAGGTTTCAGAGACACAGCAGGAAAGCACAGCTACTGAAGAAAAGATCAAGCAAATGGCTTTTGGCCTCTCATTCCTTGCACTGAGCACTTCCAGCAATAATAGGGCATAAAAATATAACGATTCTTTGCGCATAAGCAATCCCTTCCCATCCTCATTTCTCCCCACTCATGTGGCAGCACCTCTACACCCTATGGCAGGCCCTGGGAAGCAAACTGACTAGCCCTTGTTCCCTGTTGTAGTGATGCCAGCTACACTGTGTTTTTCTACCTACACAGAAATAGAAAAAGGCAATGTTAAATTGCTTTCCACATACAAGAGACATCAAGAATACGTAAGCATTTGAACAATTCCAAGAAGTCAATGCCTTGGAGTGTAACTTCATCCTTTAACACATCCAGACACCACAGTCAAGATAACTCAAACAGAGCTTAAGCTTGCTGGATACGCAGAGCTATTACCTCCCGGGCCACTCTGCTAGAAATAGAGTAATAACCTATAAAGATAGGTGGATCATTGCTATCTCTTACATAGGTAAGTTTAATGACAGTTTAAATATCATAACAAGTAAATCTTAATGATGAAAGCTTTGTTTGCTATCTTAAACTCAGTTAAGGTGTGTATTTTAGACCAGAAAAAATATGGCAGTACTACCTTAGAGGAAACACACGGAAAAGAAACAAGCAACATGTTCCTAACATGCTACATATCTCAATTCACAACAAGAATCATAGAAACATTTAGGTTGGAAAAAAACCCATAAAATCCGAGTCCAACCATTAACCTAACACTACCACCACTACACCATGTCTTTAAGCACCACATCTACATGTCTTTTAGATACCTCCAGAGATGGTGACTCAACCACTTCCTTGGGCAGCCTGTTCCAATGCTTGACAACACTTTTGGTGAAAAAAATTTTTCTAATATCCAATCTAAACCTCCCCTGACACAACTTGAGGCCATTTTCTCTTGTGCTATGGCTTGTTACTTGTGAGAAGAATCCAACATATAACACTAAGTCTACTTAATGTCGATTCCCTTTCAATAGCAAGAACAACTAACAGTTAATTTATCATAATTAACGGGAAGAATCTTCTACCATACTGTTCCATTGCAATCAATATGACTGGATGAAATTTAATACCACCTATCTTAAAAAAAAAAAAAACCCACATAAAAGTATTTAATGAAAAGTTGCAGGAAAAAACTCAACCAAATCAGACATATCACCTTATCAACGTATCTATCCTTACCTTTCGTAATACTCTGACCCCTCCTCTAAGCCAGGCAGAATCCCAGTTAACAGTCCTTGCAGTCCTGGTTTCAATGTTTTCCCCAAAGGGAGGTAATAAATCTCATACAGACTCAATAACGTTGGCTTGACAGACATAGCGGCATTGGCAAGGAGTGGAAATAGTCCAGAACTGTGAAAAATAAAATTTATCTTTTTTTTTTTTTTTTTTTTTTTAGGAAGCTTCTCATGTGAGACAATCTCATCTATATCTTAAGGCTGTTACAGGCACATCCAGTATCAGGTTTTCATCTTAGATTTCTGCAAAGGCAGAGACCACCACACAATATGACTGTCTTCCAGCCTAACAGCTTGGTATGTCAAGATTAAAGTTATGAGTTTTATTAGTATTGTGATAGCAATCACTGAAGGCCCAAAGATGACTGTGTCTTTCACCAATAAAACAAATACGATAAACCAGAAGCATCTCTGCAAAACAAAAATGTTAATTTTGCCCATGCTGAACTACATTACAATGGAAAATGTATTTTAAAATACATGGTCTTTGCACCTATTAAGAAAAAACAAAGATGGATAAGAACATTTGAGGACATTTACAGAAATACTTTTCCTTAAGAAAAATAATGATGTTTTACTTCACCAAGTAACCTAAAGATAAATTTTGAAGACATTTATACTGTTAAGTAGCAACAAAGTATATACTTCAGAAATTCTGCCTGAAAACATATTCTCAAACTAACAATTAAGGCAATGTTCATGATATAGCATTTAAAGGATTGAAAACACTGGAAGTGTATTTTGACTTTACTATGAATGTAAGTGTAAGTTCATGGAAGTTATAAATGTGATCAGCTAAGCAGAAGTTACCTCTGTACTAAAAACATTTTTGCTATTGCTACTAGATATCATAAATTATTACAAACAGTACCAATAATCAAAGGCATGTGAACACAACTGCAATTTTCAAAAATCACTGAGGACTCTGGTCAGAATACCCCTGACACATGAGGAAGAAAATGAAAGAACAGTAAAAAAGGTTAAGTCTGAGACAAGGGTCTTAAAATATACACCAACAAATCTACTATTAAAAAAAAAACCACAAACCTTTGTGGATACAATGTTATAGGAAAAAAAAAATCTTTCCAAAGTGTTTGTAAAAATTATTTTTGCCATTATCTTTCTAGAAGGACTACTGTTTTGCCATTGTCAATGGGTTTCTTTTTTCTACAGAAAATGTCTTTTTTGTTCAATAACCAGCACACTCTCCCAGTCTTTCTTTGTAAGGCTACTACTCATTCTTCAAGATTTGATGTTCAGACACTGTCATTCTGCTTTCATGAATACTGGAATCTTTGATAATGCCTTAATGTGAATGTCAGTCTTCTCCCAAGCATCAGTAACAACGGCTTTTAGTTACATTACACAAGGTAGCATTTTCCACTATCCTAGAACTTATTGTTAACAAGATACTGCAGCTACTGAATCACTGCACAAGCAAAAAATGTGAGCTATGAGTTCACAGGATCTTTAAAAACATGTACAAACACAGAACTCAGACACTGCCTCCCCCCTCCACCAAATGTAACTATATATAAACATCTTGACAATGCAAGGCAGAATAGCTGATGTTAAGGCATACAATTTATTTCCAAGCACTAATACACACCTTTGCTACTGAAACAGAGTTCTATTTTATTCCACTATTTCTCAAACTGATCAATTTTAATCTCCAGGGATAGCTAAAGATGAAGAACCATGTGTGACTGTGTGTATATACATATGTACACATCCCTCTATGCATTACATAATAGCTTAATATCTTGCCCGCCCCACCCAACCAAAAACCTGTTGGTGGTTTAGGACTCAGTATATATTTACTACACTTACTTTTCAAGGTTATCCTTCCCTTTCATTATCATCAGTTCGAGAGACTGACAGCAAGAAAAATTTTGTACTTGCTTCTCATTCTAACAAAAAAATCTTTTTGTTCTGGTGATTTGATCGCTTGGAAGAGAAAGTTTCTTGCAATAAGCTATACTCAAATTATTTTCCAATACCACTTAAACTACAATAGAAAAATGCAATGTGAATACATTGAAGTAAGTTTTACAATTACTGTACATACCTGCACAAAACTTTGTTTATTTCAATGAAGAAAGAATAAATTCCAAGTTTTCTAGCACTAAAGTTGGTTCCTAACAAAAGTTTAGGTGATCTGTTTATCTTCTGATATACAGTATTTGGAAGAAAAGTACTAGACAAGCCCCAGTAACATGAGAGAAAGAAACTGATTGATTCTTGCTATATAACAAAGCAATATTATTAATAAATAAAATGCAGGAAACCAAAAGCATCTTAACTATGCATTTGGAATGGAGTTGTGTTAAACTATTGTACCTGTAGAGGAAAAGATCTTTGGCCAAACGCTTGGGTCCAATGATTTTGAAAATGATCTCATATGTTTCAAGTGCCTTCCGATGAACCCCTCCCGGCAAAGCTGGATGAAGACATTGTGCTAAGCGTTTGCCTATAGTCAGCTTTTTCGGTACTACCTGGTACTTTGCATTGTTCTGTAGTACCTAATAAATCAACACATTAAGAAAAACAGCACAAAACAGGGTAAACATCAAATGCACATTTTATAAATGAGTTCCTGAACATGGTCAATAAGTCACAACATACACCTAGGTTACAAGACAAGAAAAAACACTTTTAAGATGTACCGTGGAGCTTTTTCTTTGCAATGCCTTGTACATTTGCTATAAATGGAATTGCCAAGGCATTTAACACTCCACTTGCAATGGGCTCCTTACTTACAGCTTGTCCATTTCATTTTACACATCCTTTTGAGGACAAAAATTACTATCTCCATTTGTTAAAATCAATTGTCAGTAGCACAAAGGACTATTAAACTGTGGGTGGTGAGTCTGGGATAACTTTAAGAAACCATCATAGAGTGAGACAAATATACAAAACTTTACCACTGCCTGAAACTACATAATCCCTTCAGGTCTGGAGCACAGAGTTGTATTTGCATCTTTAGATTTTTCTTTCCCAATATCATGGCCTTCACTTCATATACACATGCAGCAAGAACTGTTACAATCAAAAAAATAAAGAAATGGGAGTTTATACAAAGAAATGATGCCACTGGCATTGCCAACTGTACTGTCATTCCTGATTTTCCACAAAGTTTAAAGAGTAGAACGTAAATGCTTCAGACCTGTAAGTTTCTACACCAAATTCTACAAATTTTCACATTGGTAAAATGTATGTGTATAAACAGAACTCTATGACCCTAACTGAAGATCCCTAGAAACACACAGAACTGATTAGAACAAGATTTTTACAGATACCAGGATCTGTATTCATTTGTAAACAGCTAATAAAGATCATGATGATATTACACATTTAACTGTTAAAACGAATCAGAACCATAACATTCTCTGGTCAATGAATGATTTGAGCCCCATTTTATAACTCATGCTTCATTAAAATATTACTACTACTTATACTGGCTACTATTTTTCATTCTATTTCAATAATGTTGAATGATATTAGAAGCAAGTGTTAGTAACAAAAAAGATGTTATTTATTTCCACTAGAAGTGTAAATAACTCTTCCCTTTACTTACAATTACAAAGGGTTCAACTGTAAGTCTTAGAAAGGCATTTGTTTGATTTGTTTGCTCTTTGCACACACCCAACATTTGGCTCAGACTGCTAAAATATTTGCAAGAACGTTAGACTGCTAGAACCTTGCACTTCTGCATTTTTACATCAGTGCCCTTTGTCAGTACCTGAATCTCTTCCAAGAGCACCTGCCAGGCGTACCTTGTTTAGCTTTCCAAGTGCCGATATTAAATCTGCCCATTCACTGGAATATTCAAAGTTCTTCAATGCTTTGTCAACAGCTGCTACATAGTTTCTGTACTTGGAATCAGTCAGTAGCTCCAGCTCCTCCGTGTTCATCCTCCCACGGTGTCCCCACTAGAGACTAGATTGCAATTCATGTACAGACATTACCTGTTCAAAATAAAAAATAAAAAACCCTGAAACTATTGTTTCCAGAGACATATTATTAAAACAATTTTGTATAAAGAGCACGACATTTTCCTCAGAAGCATTATGAAATATCAATCGGAAATCAATTTACAGCAAATCCTAAACAAAAGCTAATATATTGCACACAAATATTTAACACATGTCCAAAAGAGTGTATTTGTAATCAGGTCCTGCTTAAGAGAAACACCCACAAAACAAATAAAAAACCCTAGAAAATTAATGCCCTACCCTTCCCAAAAAGCACAGTTTGTTCTAAACAATGCAAGAAAGGGATTTTTTTGTTTTCCTTTTTTTCCCTCCTCTGGGTCCACCTCCAGAAAAACCCACCTTTCCACAAATCACCCCATGTGAAAACAGAAGACAGCAATCTTTCTGAATTGCTTCCAGGCAGAAGGCAAGAATGAAGGACACATACAATAGTCACGCACTATGCATGAGTACTTTCACGCATCAGCACTTCCTTTTACAAGACCTGGTATTCTAATTCATCGATGCAACTCTACTTTGTTTTTATATTATCATCATCCACACACAGAGGTGTATGTTTACTGGTCTTCTGTAGTCACAGGCTTTTGCAATTCACTCTATATGTTTTAATCACATGGTAGTCTATACCAAGTAATTAAGATATTCGAGTTCCAGAAACACCACCTCATACTTATACAGGCCACACACTATTTAGTTAATGAAATTCAATCACTATTAAAAAGAAATATGTTTTTAAAGCTACTTCAACCCCAAGCAATTACAACTGATAATGGGAAATCCTATTGTAGCATGGCTGTGAAAAAGGCAGCTTTTGTGCCCCTTTTAATTGGGGTCTTTGGGGAGTTCTCTCTGATACTCAGCTTCAGAAAAGACTTCACACTCAGCAGATGCTGCTCTCTTCTGTCTTGGATCAAAGGAAAATGGGAAGAAAATTGTGTGCAGAAGTGCAGGATGAAGCATGGTAGACACACCTCCCCTCCTCCCCCCCCCCCCCAAAAAAAAAAAAAAAAAAAAGAAAATCAAACAGGTATAAAGAAGCTGTGTTCATCAGATTGCCTACCAGGCACAATAAAGAGAGTCAAGCTGAAACCAGTAGTTTCAGTAAGCCCTTCCGAAACAACTGGAGAATACGCCTCATTGGCCCCTATTCCCAGTGAGCTGCAATATGACAAAATAGCAGGACTGTCTGAAATGAAAAATGCCTATGAAATAATAGAGCAGAAATCTCAGCAGAAATAAAGAGACATTCTGATTTCTGGTGGTTCTACAGTTGGAGATAATAAAAACACCTTCTATTCCGCTCAGGAGAAAGTTTAGTGTTTTTAGAGAAGACTAACATAAACACACTCCAGTTGTGCAAGATGCATCAAAACCATAAAACTTTTCTGCCTCCTATCATATATGATCAATTTAAAATGTTTTATATGGACACATAAAAATCTTTGTTTTATTTGTACTATACCCATCCCTGTCTTCAAACAGTGTTCTCCCCAAAACGGCTGTGAAGCTGCTATTTAATAACTTTGTCAACAGTTCTCATAAGGAGTTAGCATGGACTGAACAACATAAAGTCCTAGGACTGGGTATTTTCAGCTACCTGAAGGCCAACTCCTTGCCATGTTCTTGAAACCCAAAACATACAAACTGTGTCACTATGAGTACTGTTTTACCTTTTCAGCACTCCAAAAGGTAAAATGAGGAAAGCTACACTCCGACATCTACAAATTAAGACAGTAGTAAATCAGGCTCGAAATTTCATTATTGTAATATTGTCAAATTTATCACAAAGTGCCCTGGCAGATTTTTTGCTCCCTCCTTTTTGTTCCTTTAATTAGCAGGTGCTTCTGAAGATAAATTGCTCAGAACCCAGCCTTAACCCTCACAAACTTCATTTTTAGTGCTAAAGGAACATTTAAGAAGTATTCCTTCAGACAGAGATAGCACACCAACCACTCTGGGTCCCTGCGGAGAGGGACCTTTGAGAACCCTCTCACCCCTAACCTTTCATGAGTGGGCACGTGTAAGGGTGCCAGACAAGCCTCTCTTCTGCTGTCATCACATTTATCCTCTCTTCTATAGAGCAACCAAAATTCCACATTAATCATTTATTTATCCTTATTACTATCTTTCTCCTCATATTGCTCATCTCCTGGTTTCTCCGCATTGTAAGGAAAGTATCAAGAAAGAAAAACAAGAAAGGGATGGACAAAGGGAAGAAAAAGAGCTGGGATAGCAGAAGTGAATAAAAAGGCCAAGAATTACAAACCTTTTGCACTCTTGATTCTGATGGCAGACTAATAATGACAGATTGTCTCCAAGGCAGAACAGAAGTGCAAACCATCACTTAGAAAAGATATTCTGGGTGCCAGATTGATAAATTTTGCGATACCCCACTGGCATAAAGCACTTAGATCTCATTTGTATTTAAAAAAAGTATTTCATGTGGTTTCATTTTATAATAACCATATTTCTTTGGATTAAGTCCAGAAAAAGATCAGGTTTGCTTTGAAAAAGCTGTAGAATGCCAACAGATTTCTCAAAAAGACAGTTGCACAACTGCCAATGTCTGATCTCCAAAAGTAAAATAAAGTATTAACACTAAAAAAGAAGAAAGGACCAACATACAAAAGCAGCAAATTCTCATTTTTCCAGGCACAAAGGACGGAGAAAGAGCCTGACACAGCGAATAATGCTTTCTTCACTCGGAAAGCATCAGCATCCTTTTTTTATCCCGCTAAAGCATAAATGCAACCACTTATGGCTGAGTGGAAAACAGGACTGTCTTCCTCAAGTGCTTGACAAACCTAAAAGCTGAGAGTGAACTGATCCAGGATTATCAAAAGGTTAGACAAAACCTGCAGGGACACACGGTTAAACAGGTAGCTTTTTCTGGACTTACTAACTGATTAGAATGTTCTCTTCCTTTTAAAAAACAAAAAACATTAACAACTTTGACTGAATAAGCTATATTTTTAGACAAGTCTATCACACACAGGCTGATACTTACGAGCTTACTCTAGTCATGAAATTGATATTTACATTTATCCGTATGTTATCAGTAATTTTAATCATTATGAAGTTTTGTATGGAGAAGAAAAAAACACATACTCTGTTTTCTTACTACTCTACGGTTATGGTCTCATTTTTCTTCCTTAAAAAAAAAAAGTTTTATATAGTTTGAGGTTACAGGGAGAGAAAGAATTTCTTGCATATTTTTTCCCCACAATAAATAGTGTCTATTTTAAACAATATGTCTTCCAAATCATATCAGTAGCCATAATAAGCCAGGGATGCAGAGAAGATACTATGTAAATACCATGTATTATTTTTATAAACCTGGTACTATTTTTATTCTAAGATCATGGAAACTACAAATTATCTCTCATACATAAAAATATACTTGTCCTACAAGGTTTACTTTTTGTTTAGCCTGAAGATACTCCAAAATATAGTTTTTAATCTTTGCTTGCTTCTATTGTGTATTCTCACTTAAAATTTTCTTTCTCTTAATCTATAGTAAAGCTGCAGATTTAACAACACTGAATTTTACAGCACTGATATTTCAATACAACGTTAAAGCTTAGTAATGTCTAATTTATTGTAAGTATAACACCCTTATTCTTTCATGGTTTACTACTTTGAAAAAGAAGATAAATAATAAAATTAGATAGATCAAAATAATTGAAAAATACTGATTTCTGCCACACTATCAAACATCCCAAAGGATAAACCATTTATCGTGCCACTCCACAATCACCATTTAGCATGAGGGCAAACTTTCCTTGGAATGTCTTTTATTTCTCTTTTTAAACAAAGGTATGAAGAGTACCATCCTTTGCTTTTGTTGGGTTTTTTTCCCCTTTTGGCATACCCAATGAGATGAGACAGGCTTCTCAGGTTGAAGGTTCCCCTACTCTCATGATTCTGGGCATAGGTAATCATTGACTTGTTAGATGACCTTGCCTCTTTTTAATGGATGACAAAAAGCAAATGGGGGTGTCTGAGCAGAAGGCTTATTATCAGTGAGGAAGAAACTACCTAAGAAGTGCTATACACTTTCAAACTATTTCATAAAATCACATTTAAATCATAAGCAACTGCAGAAGTAGGTCTTGGCACTTACTACCTTCCATTTCACCTTCTCATGGGGATTAAAAAAAAAAACAACTAAAAAACACTGCACAATTCTGGATATACCTGGATACCTGCAGAATCTTCAAATATGACTTTGACAAGAAAAGCAGTTACCTGGGGCTGTGGATCTCCTTTTTCTGGGGGTTGTGTATAGTGTGTTCACAGAGCAGCCTTCAATTCCCTTCATCAATGAGGTGGTACTGGTTTTCCTCCGAGTTGTGTTCAGATGATACTGCTACAGCTGTGTTTTCCACAGCAAACGCTCATCCTTCACAACTCGTGTGCCTAGGAGCCTTCTGTCTCACATCAACACAAACTATTAACCTGTTTAAGAGGCTGCAAATGGTTTTCACTGAAGCTAAAGAAACTCTACCGAGAACAACTCAATAAAAGCAGCTTTCATCTAGATTCTGCTGGAATTTAATCACAAGGTTATAAGACTTCCCAATGACTGATAAGCTCTCCAGTACCTCTTGTACCCCAAAGCTCCTCTTCAGGTTTGATTTGCTACTGTTTCACTCTTACATTTTTCAAGGCTCACAGAATTGCTCTATTTGTCTGCTCCACACCAATCTGCAATACTGAAATGGTCGCCTTCCAGTACAGGTCAAGGGGCTGGTTGCTGGGGAACACAAATCTGTGTACATCATGTCACTTCAAGAATTCTCAAGATTTGTCCCAAGTACTGTAAGAACCTGAGCTCACAAACATGCTTCCTTTGAAATCTTCAGAGAGTTTCAGCTTTGCAGTATTTTAAGGCTTTTCTAAAATTCTTCAGTTTCAAGTATGACTATGGGACATACAGCAAAAGAACTAATACATGATTAAAAAGCACATGAGA